GAGGCGAGCGAGGTGCTTCGCACAAAGGCCGCCGCCTCCTCGGCCTCGTCGAGCAAGGCGGCCTACGCGAGTCGGCAGAGCGTAGTGCGTGACCACACTTGTCGCCAGCGAAGCCTCCTCGCGAGTCTGCGGCCGCCGCCTGGACAGCCACCTGGACACCGCCGCCAAGCCTCCTCTTCTCGGCGCGTGGCGCCGCCGCCGGCCGCACGGGCTTCGCCTGGCCGTCCTCGTCGCCGCCACCGCCGCCGGGGAGGGGCGGACGGGGGGGGGGCTCGTCGGCGGGGCCCTACAGGTGGGGACACGGCACACTGCCGCGGGGCAGCAGTCGGTAGCTTGCCAACAGCAGCACAAGGCGATGCCTCGCCCGCGTCGCCGCCCTCGCTGCCGCCCTCGCCCTCGCTCTCGCTGCCGCCCTCGCCCTCGCCGCCCTCGCTCTCTCCGCCGGCCGCGTCGCTGCCGCCGCCCTCGCCGCCGCCCGCGTCGCCGCCCGCGTCGCCGCCGCCGCTGTCGCCGCCGCTGTCAGCATCGCTGCTCTCTCCGCCGCCAAAGGCTCCGAAGGCAGCCCAGAGCTGGCTCATGCCGCCGGCCGTCCCGCTCTCGGCCAGCGGCCGCCGCGCCTCGGCCGCCGCGCCGACCCGCTCCGCCCCCCTCGCCTCGCCCGCCGGCGCACCCTTCCCCGCCGCCAGCTTCTCGGCCCGCCGCCCCTCCGCCTCGGCCTGCAGAGGCGGGAAGCTGCGCCTATGCCGGTTGCTCTTGCCCGGCGTCGCCTCGACGAGGTCGAGATGCCGGCTCGGCCGCAGCCGCAGCGTCGCGGCCGGGTCGTGCGCTGCTGGTCGTTCTGCGGCGGCCGCGGCGGCGGCAGCGCCAGCAGCAGCCTCTTCCGCTCGCCTCTGCTCCGCTGCCTCCTCCCACTCCCGCTTGAGACGCGTCATGTAGTCCTCGCTGGCGGGAGCGACGGCGAGCCGCTTGCCGCGCCATCGCGTGCCAGTGTACGCCTTGATGCACCGCGCCACCTCTGGCGGAGCTGCGTGCAGCGAGACATACCCGAAGCCGCGGCAAGCGCCGTCGGCGCCCCGGATCACGCTGGCTTCGCGCACCTCGCCGAATGGCGTGAAGCGCCGTGCGAGCTCGGCGTCGCTGACGTCTGATGGGAGGCCGTCGATGTGGAGCCGATGGGTGCTCGGGCCCGCGCGCTCGAGGCTCTCCTCGAGGCTCTCCTCGACGTCGACCATTGCAACTCCTCTAAAAAAAACACGCGAAGTTGTCTGTTTTCTTTATTTTTTGAGATTTTTTCTCCCATCCTCCCTTGTCTCGTCCGTGCCTCGCCGGGCGGCGAGATTGCTAGAGGCGGAGCAAGCCTGCTCTAGCTAGTCTCACATGTTACTTTGGCCTGTACCAGCCAGGTTATCCGGCAAACAAAAAGGAAAACAGAGGGTCCCCAGCACTTTGCGTTTCCGGAAATTTCAAGGGAAAACAGAGGGTGTTTGGTGCTCCATTCTGGACACTCGCGAGTTTCCCTGAGTCTGAGAGCTGGTCTGGGGCAAAATCTGAGGCAAAATTGAGGAATCGACAAAATACCCAGGCGGTCGCAGGGTAACTTCCAGGTCTACACGGCTTCTCCGCAAAATTCCCGGCATTTTGCCGATTTGGCCTAAAATTTGGCTGATTTTGGGCCCAACCAGCCTCAGACTCGGCTCAGAGCCCAAGAGGCTAACAAGCTGCCGAGCCCAAATGCAAATCACTGTGAGAGTCGTGATTGTAAATCTCTCAGAGCCCAAAATTTGACGATTCCCACGGAGTTTTCCCGGGAAAATAGAGAGGAAAAGAGAGGGTGCTGTAGAGAAAAAAGGAAAGGAAAACAGACGGGGTGCGAGAGGAAAACCTGGTACAGCCTAAATGTTACTTCCTGTCGTCTGTTGTGTTGTTGTGCTCTTGTTTGTTCCTTTGGCACCTTGGAGTGCTGGGGGGGGCGACAGGGATTGGGATGTACAAGGTTTTCCGGCAAACAAAAAGGAAAACAGAGGGTCCCCAGCACTTTGCGTTTCCGGAAATTTCAAGGGAAAACAGAGGGTGTTTGGTGCTCCATTCTGGAAACTCGCGAGTTTCCCTGAGTCTGAGAGCTGGTCTGGGGCAAAATCTGAGGCAAAATTGAGGAATCGACAAAATACCCAGGCGGTCGCAGGGTAACTTCCAGGTCTACACGGCTTCTCCGCAAAATTCCCGGCATTTTGACGATTTGGCCTAAAGTTTGGCTGATTTTGGGCCCAAACCAGCCTCAGACTCGGCTCAGAGCCAAAAATCTGACGATTTCCACGCAGTTTTAGAAAGAGAGGGTGTTGTGTAGAGAAAAAAGGAAACGGGAAAACAGACGGGGTGCGAGAGGCAAATCTCGTACCAAGACAGGGAGGATGTGGCCCTGAGTCATGTGTACGCCTACTCAGGCCTCAGGGTGTGTGGCAGCCAGCTGGCTGTGTGTCTTGTGAGCCTGTTTTGTGTCTGTGTGTCGCTCATGCGTGTCGTCATCGTCTGTCTAGCGTCCACCCATACCGCGTTGGTGTCCAGACTCCAGTCCGCGAGCCTGGCTGTTCTTCACCTTTCTACCTCGTGCTCTGCGGCAAGAGCAGTCTTTTCGGAAGATATCGACGATTTTCGAGAGCCACCCGCTTGGGAGCGATTGAGCGCGTCACGGAGGACTCAGGTTACCCCTGAACCTCCTCTGACGGTTCTCGCTCCCCATCGAGCTCTTCTTGCCGTACGGCTCTTCCTGTGAGCTGTGTGTGCCGGCACAGAGCTCTGTGCCAGCCGTCCAACGTGATCGTGACGAGTGTATCGCTTTGACGGATCGACCGTACTTGTTATCAAGACTGACATGACGTACACAGTGACACATGAGCGGCGGCGATCGGTCCCTAACCTGCGGTCCTTCACCGTAATCGGTCCTTCGCCTTCATCCCTAACCCCAAAAAGCACGATTCTCAAGTTGGGCCCTCAGACTGCGGCCGCCAGCGACTGAGTCAGTCTCGCAGGCGGACGGGGATAACACAACGAAGGGCCGTCCGAAACACAACTACTACGAAGGGACGTACGGACGTCCATCACTGGGATGAGATCGGGAGATCATGACAGATCTGCCGAATATCTCCCGACTCTAAAAAGCCGCCCGAAGGAGCGCCGCCTCAACACGGGGTCTCGGCTCTATCGAGCCATGCTAGCTCCAGCCGCAGCCCCACCCGGCCGCCCGAGGGTGTTCCCGCATGCAGAGAGAAGACTAATATCCTGGGGGAAGCAACCGGCCGCCGGGGATGCGCCGCGCACTCGCATCGGTTACCTCCATGAACGGCGGAGCTAAGTATTCTCGCGTCCACACCACACCTCCACACACTACTGTGCGAGCCGCCCTGAACAACAGGGCACGCGTTTTTTTTCTGCGATCTCAATTTCGTGCATCTGTCTTCCGCCTACATCTGCTGCACGCCGCCATGCTCGCCCTCGCTCTTCTCGCGACGCCCTCAACCGCCGCCTCTCGCCCCCGTCCGCGGCGCGGGGGGGCACTCATCGACACGCGCAACCGCACCGACTTCCACATCAAGCTCGAGACCGACGCGCCGACGCTCGCCCTCGCGGCGTCTGCCTCGCGCAAACCCAACAAGGCCGCGGAGCTCCTGCTCCACCAAGACGTCCTCGGGGGTGGGTGGGCGCCGTTAGGTGCCTGGCCGGACGTCGCCACCTTCCATCCAACCTTCTCCTTCCCGTTCAACATCTCCAAGTTCAGCGGCGCCGCCTCGCGCGCCGCCGCCCCGACCACCGTCCAGCCCATCGGCGCCGCGGCCAACGCCGAGCTCGCCTCCTTTGGCGAGGCTGCCGGCGCGGTCAAGAATGGCGACGTCTCGCTCGCCGACTCCACCGCCAACTCCGTCGGTCTCACGTGCGGCGGCGGCGGCGCCCCTGTGTGGTGCGCGGAGCCGCCGCAGCAGCCGCTCGCCGAGCTCTGCGTCTCTGAGGATCCGATCAAGACCTCGGGCTCCACGAGCAACGAGACGGTCTGCACGACCGCCACGGCCCACTCCAAGGGCGAGGCCGACGAGACGGACACAAAGGTGTGCGACTCTCCGCTCTCTCACACACCGTCTGGCCTCTCTCACGGGGGCATGCTCCGCCGCCCTCCCCGCCTCTCCATCTCCGCCCGGGCGTCCTCGCCGCCCCCCACTCTCCCCCCACCACCCCCTCCCCCTCCCCGCCCCCGCCCCCGCCCCCGCCCTCCCCCAGCCGCCCTCCCCACCTCCTTCCCCGCCCCCTCCTCCGCCGCCGCCACCTCCCTCACCCCTCTCCCCCTCACAAAAATTCATTGCTTGCCGGCAGCCCTCGCCTGCCGCCCCACCTACCTAGCTAGCTGTCTGTTTGGTCCGCCGTCCCTAGCGTGCGGTGAGCCCAGTCTTGTCTCGCCTTCGCTTCGCCC